ACATGAAAAGTTTACCATGCTTTCTTGTTTGGATAAGCGGATAAAAATTAATAAAGAAAAATAAAGAATATAGACATCATTCATTTTTTCCTTAAAAAATCTATTATTTTGTTCCTCTAAATTGTGGGGAAGAAAAAGAGAAAGAAAGGAAATGTTTATAGTTTTTTTTTTGGGAAAGAAAATAGAACAATATATTCACAGGCACAAACGGGGTGCAAGTTAAAGCAAATTTACAAGTTAGTCAAAATATCAATCAGGTCCAAAGATCCTCAACCGTTAAAGATGATGATCCTTAATAAAAAACCTTAGGCTGGAACCAATGATCTATGAATCTATCCGTATCGATTCAATGTTCTCAAAGCGCTCATATTTCTTTCTTTCCATACCCAGAGTAGCCAAAGGAATAGGGTTTGTCGTCTTATCCCTCTTGAACCCATGTCAGGCCCTAATCTCATCCCTAACTGAGCCAACAATCACCCAATTGATGCCCAACAGACCATAAACTATAGATTACAAATGATAGGTAAAGGCAACACAACATGATATGATTACACGACTCTGCATACCTCATGCATAGGTACCAACAATTAACCAAGATTCTATCCTTCCTGATTAGCTTGTCCAGTGTAAGAATACATCTAGTAGCTTTCCAAGTGAAAAAAGCCGTCGAATGAGCAAGAAGTATGGTGAACTTCATTGTCTATGTTCTTGTGCACTTATTTTTTGGTGGCTAGATGGACCGTGGTTTGCTTCTTTGGAATCCGTTATTGATGCAGGGAGGTGTTATTAAACATGGAATTGGGCTAAAAGGGAGCTTTTATAAGAAACGAGAACATGGAAATTAGACTCATTGGCTACTTTCTTATGTCGTGTATTTGCACAGGAAGAGAGAATTGAGCATTAAGGGCACATTTAGTTCCCTGAATAGAATAAACTGGAATGAAATAACTATTCAATAGAGATGGAATAATCTTGTTATGGTATTACAATTGTAATATGATGTTGGGTTGGTAACAACATGATTACTATGTTTGATTCAATAGTACTAGAGGTTACAATAAAGCTCTAACAGATTGTGCATGACTGTAATACCCCTCATTATTTTTGGTGTAAAATATAATATAATGCACTTACATCAAATAGGACATATAAGTTAATAAATTTACATATTTGTTACATAATAAATTGGACATTCTAATTAAAAAATCGTAGAGTTTCACTTATTTTAATTTGATCGAATTATGAAATTTCATATAATTTTGCTTAAGAAGTCATTAGAGCTTGCTGCATTTATATTATCCTTTGGTCACTTTCTTAATTTCATAAAATTAATAAAATTACTATTACATATTTTAATTTCATAAATTTAATTTTATTTAGTTATTTTATATTATTAAAATTATGAAATTCTGTATAAAAAATATTGATATTCTATGCAATTGTTAGGCTAATGGATGTTATATAGTCCTAAAGCTAAATGGTTGATTTCTGTCTTGACTGCAACTCTGATTTTCTACTCATGAATCAGGATTAGAATTCTTTAGTAATTAAAATTTCCAAGTAATTTTGATTAATGCAACAAAACAATATATGAAACTCCATTCCTTTACTAGCTGTGACGTTCTCTGCGTATTTCTACCTTATGCAAGTAGTCAAACATGCCATTGAGGTTATGAACTTCCTATGAATGGTCTGGATCTCAGCTATTTTAAGGGATGTCTTCTCTTCCTTCTCCTTTTTAACATTTGTTTTCGGGGATTTTCTGGTAGTTTGTGTTCTGATTAGTTGTTATTGGCTCTTTTTTCACCCCCTATCTATTAAGTTATCATGTATTTGCGTTATCCTTTCTTATTTTACATTTTTTTTTTTTCAATTTTTAGATTCTCCAAGAGAACCTCATAAGATAATCTCAAATGTTTTGAAAGATATTGCTGAATGAGATATATCATTCTTAACTGGATCTTGATTTTCTTGAGAAGTCCTGGATCTTGAGTTATTGACCAATTTTCACCAAATTATGAGAGTTTGATGTGATTATCTGTCATAGATGTTGGTCTGCACTGACTCTTACTTGGTTCATCTCACCATAACCATAGGGCTAAGATGGTGTGGTGGTTGTCTGCTTTTTATTTTTTATTTTTCTGAATTTTAGTTTGAAGCTTTTTCATGATGGTTAAGATGTTATATTTTTCTATTCAAATTGAAAGCTTGTTATATTCATCTTTTCTGCTCTTGAGATGAGGATGACAGAACTTTGTATCATAAGGTTATGAGTGGGATATTGGTCATTTTCGTGGGGCCCAACGACCTGATGTTGACTGCTTCAGGAGCACTTCATTTGGGCTATCTAAGAGGGAGGTATGTTTAATCCACAATTTGTTGCCAAATTTTTTCTTGATTTTAGCAAATTAACTTCTAGCATGAATTACAACCTTAAATTACAATGACAAGAAATAGATTCCCTTCTTTTTGTTTTGTTTGTTTTGTTGCGTTTTCTTTTATTTGTTTTGCCTGTTAGTTCCTATATTATTGTAGATGTAAACATGGTTATATTACCTATCTTGCAAATTAGTTAAAGACATAGTTTGTTTAGTAGTTGATGCAGGAGGTACTGAATAATTTTGGGATAAGACCTAGATATTACAGTTAGTATCATTTAAAATTAAATCGTGTTGACAAGGGCTGCCTTCATTCTTAAACTTGCCGTTGTGCCAATATGATTTTTATCTCGATCATAAGATAATGTTTTCTGAGTTTTACATATACCTTGTTATCCATTTTTTCACAATTTATTTAGCAATATATCATAGGTTAATATGAATATATAATTTTTTTCTTCCTTACATGTGTGTTTTCCTTGTTATCAGAGGGCTGAGAAGGTTATATTAATAGTTAGCTATCTCAGCAGATGAATAAATATTGTAGAAACTTAGATGTTTGTTGTGTTAATCCCCACCAAGCTTCAACAGTTGACCTGCTATAATAAATGGTTCACCCAGTTGGCTTCTCAGCATAAACTATAGGTACAATGAAAGGATGGGCAAAATTTAGGATTGCCCACTTTATTAGATCTGTCTGGAAACATGTAAAGGCTAAATTTAGGCGTAACTATTTTTTTTTAGTTAGAAAGGAACTGTTTTCTGGTCTTTATAGCAAATGTGCTTCATTTTGCTATATTTCCACATGTCCAGATTTCTGCTTCAGATCCTTTGGCAAATGTTGATAAGGAAAAGACCGATGTACTGATGTATTGTACTGGAGGTATTCGTTGTGACATATATTCTACCCTCCTAAGGTACCCAGTGTTTATTTTAGTTTCTCTTTCTTTTTCTTTTCTCTCTAAAGTTTTCATTTCAGCCAAACAGACCACTTAAATTCTTGCCGAATTATGACTAGCAATCAATTTAGCTATAGTTAGTAAATCGGCCATGTCATTGAATTGTCCAAGGCATTGGACATCGTTTATTGATTTATTAGTTTGACCACTAGTTCATTGGTCGAATCACTAGATTAAAAAAAATTATTTAGAGTATATCTCAATAGTTTGTAACATAAAAATATATAAATATATAGATATTGTGATAGATAATTTACTTGCAAACTAAATAAAAATTAAAAGAAAAGTGAAAATGATTGAATTTTATCATCTGAATTGGTTAATTTTGATTGAACTGACTTGTTTTTTAGAAAGTTTTATTTATTTTTGTCTGGCTTTGACCAGTTCCTTTTGCTTATTTGATGTAATTTTAAATGAAACGACAAGGTGTCCAAATTACTATATGATATTCTATCTGCTTTTAAACAACTATGATTTTAGCATATGAACATAGGCACAAGCTTTATCTGTAGATCAGATGGGGCTGCAATTGCAAGGCATGTGCTAGGATCTCTTTTAGAGAATCTTAATTATATTCGTGATTTTAATTTTCTACCAATTTGCCTATTTTATAATAAATAATTACTGTATATTTTATAATATTAAATATAAAATAATTTTTTTTTATAAAAAAGAGAAATTGACGTGTATCGATTCCCAATTTTAATTTTTTATGTACTGTTCTAATCCAGAAATTAAAAGAGAAAAATGGAGATGAAGAGAAATATTAATACATATTAATTAGATTAAAGATTTTTTATATTTTTTATTTAGGAACTTTAAATATTTAATCCTAATCCTATTACATATCAATTATATTAAACATTTTAGTCTTATTTAAATCATATTTCTATATTTATTTTTAAAAATTATTTCAAAAAATGAGAAAATGAGACGTAATATGTTTCCAATTTTTCTTTTATGTATATAATCGATAAAATATTCTAATTTCTGCTAATAGAAAAAATTTATAAATATATGCAGGTTTTTTATTACTAATAAATGAGTGAATACATCTATTTGCTTGGCTTTTAGCAGAGAGAGTCAATCAAGACCAATGTGATCTGGATATATAATTATTATTGAATATGAACATATTTTTCTCATGTATGCAACAGAGTAAACTTTTAGCAGAGGGAATCAATCAATGCCACCGAGAATTCGGATATATGGTTATATATCCAAACATTAAGATATTTTCTCATGTATGAAACAGAGTAATGTGCAGACTGGTCTCTAGATGTAATTAGAGCTATGGCCTTCTGTGATGATTAGGCTCCACTTTTCTGGAGATCTCCCGCCCTTTTTGAGATATTAGTTTCATGTGGCAGACAGCGGGGTTTTAAGAACTTGTACACCTTGAAAGGAGGCATTTCTCATTATCTTGAGAAAGAAGGTCCCGCTGAATGGGTTGGTAATTTGTTTGTGTTTGACTCCCGCCTTTCGCTCCCACCACCTGCCTATAACCCAGAAGCAGCTGGTGAAGCCAACAAAAGTCAACAAGAAGCCTTGTTCGCAAGATGCCATGTCTGTGGTTCACAAGTTCAGGAGTTGAGACATCGAAATTGCGCAAATCTTGATTGCAACCTGCTTTTCCTGTAAGTGCTCTTTCCCCCTTTGGGTCTCATCCAACTTCAATTTCATCGAAATCTGTCAGAAGGACAAGAAAACTATTTGTGATTGATGAAAAGTCATTTCTTCTTGGTAATGTTTTCTCTTGCATATGGCTACAGGAAATCAAAAAGAAGAGTTTTGAACAAGATGGTAAAAACACTTTGAAGAATTAAGTTTATAGTTCTTTTTAATTGTTATCTCTTCGTGCTCTTTCCTTTTCTTTTGTGCTTCATCCTTTCGTCTTTAAATAAGTAAAGAAATGTATTGGTTGGCACATGTAAACAGCTTTTTTGGAACACATGGACGATAAGTTTCATTTTATTTTCAAATGTATCAAATAGGATATTTATTTAAAAATAAGTTTTGATGTTTCGAATAAGTTCGAATACTTAAACATATTTTATGAATTTCACTTGAATCAACGGATTTGGAAGGACGGAAATTAGAGTACAATGCACATTACTTCTTTGCCTTTTTTCCCTCTTAAGTTCTGAAGTTCATTTCTCAATTTTGTAAAATCTGACAGAAATTGAAGCGCACCTGTTGAATTCCATATAGAAATCTTTGTGGCTCTAAAATTGGAATGGAAACATAAACCCGAGAATATGCAAGCATATGACCTACAGTTTTTTTATTTCCAAAAAGTGATGCGTTTTCAAGTTGAACCGAACTCATCTGCTCCTTTCTCAGTATTTGGACTTTAGGAACCTAGTACTACTTGTATAACTGATTGTCTTGAGTCTTGGTCATGGTTGTTTCTCCTTTCAGATGCTGTGCACCCTGCATTGAATATTTACGAGGATGTTGCTGTTTGGATTGTACAACTGCAGCTCGACTTAGACCTGTTTTACCTGGACATCAAAGATATCGGAAGTGGCATGAATATCGTGATTTACCGGTGCAAGGGAAGCGATAGTTTTGACCAGATAAATGAGAGGTTTGAATTGGTAATATGTCAGATGTCTATTATTATGTGTATTTAAGGTGTCATATTATGTCATATATGCTGTTAGAATAATCAAACACAATTTCAAAATTTTAAAATGAATTAGCAGTAAAGACTGAGTCTCTATTCATTATCGTTTTAACTTGCGTCATGTTTTCTGATGAGATATCTTTTGTTTTCCTAAACTGCAATCTGCAATGTTCTCTGGTTGGGCAAGCATGTGATCTTGGCATCAGATTACTTATTTCTTTTTCTGTTAGATTATTAAGAATAGAAACTTCAATGTATTTCATAATAAAGAGAGTAAAAGTTTTTTTTTTTTTTTAAATAAAAAGAAATCAGTATATTAACATATACCAACAAAAACGGAGATACCATCCATTTACAGAAGAATTTATATTATAGTTACGGATTCAGACGATATTCTCAAAATTCTTATAACAAATAATGTCGTGATTTAATAGGATAGACAAAAAAATTCAGCTAATCTATTCTTTATCTGAGAAAAATTGTATTCTTCACCCTTAAAAAGCTCTACGATTCTTTTCTTTCCACAAAACTAAAAAAAAAAAACTGTTAAAGGGATCACATAGGTTATAATAAATTGTTTAATAAATAATTTTTTTTACGTTAAAGAATGAAGAACCAGATAAATGAGAGAATACATAGGTTCATAATTGATCAAATATATCAGTAAATTCTTAATATTGCATCTGGTTTGAACTTATTCTAGTTTTATTCAATTTTCAGATCCTGGTTATTTTATCTATAGAATAGTGTGCGTGTTTATAAGATGCAATACCTTTATCTACGAGTAATTGTATATGCTACTTCTTAAATATATCAAAAATTTAATTTCTCTCAAAATATAAGATAATTCATCAAATACTTATTCTATCCATAAGTAAAATTTGTGTCAATAGAAATTATCACATTCTCATAACAACTTTCTAATATATCTAAATGCTATTCAAATTCCTAATAATTTATCTAAAACGTTATCTGATCAAAAATGAAAATATGTAATCTTGTGGATTGGAGTAATAAGAAACAAAATATGATAACAAAACGAACTATGAATCCAGATTTTAGACTATTCTATAGATTACAAAGCATGACCTAAGGAGTTTGTAAAATATTATAACTGAAGATAATTATAGAAGATTTAAAAAGATTAAATGGGTAAACTACTTTGTATAATGAGATTTCCGTTAACATGTCTCACAATCTCATGCAACATGACATAACAAACCATATTAAAGTAAATAAATATTTCATAAAGGAAAAATTAGATAGTGGATTGATTTGTGCTTCATATATTTGATCAAGTTGTAGACGTGTTAACAAAAGGGCTTAGTAGGGCGACATTCCAATGGCTTATCTATAAGCTGGAAATTAAAGATGCATATTCACTAACTTGAGGAAGAGTGTTGAATAATTTCTCCATTTTCATCTTAACATTAGGAAACAAAGCTTCCTAAAATTATGTGATACCTATTACGAAATTTC